ATTTCTCTCGCAGATTCTTCGCTCAACGAACCTAAATGCGAGTTTATAATTGCCTAATGGGTATTAAAAATTTATCTTAAGGTGCATATAACTTTCTTATGGGTAATTGTGTGTGCATATATAGATGTGTGTTGAAAATAATTTACAACTTCTTTGGAAAGGTACTCTTACAATAGTAAATAAAATATATATATATATATATATATATATATATATATATATATATGTAGAATGGCGAATAAAATTCTTCTTCAATCTGTTGCATATTCTTTGTATGTTTTGAGATTTTCTTCGCTTAAACATTTTAATTAAGGATTTTTCTCCTATATTTTGCTAAAAATAAAAGCTTTGCTATTTCTGATCATTATGATGAAAATCATTCAATTTCGTGAATATGTTAAAAGAATGTTTTTGCAGCTTTCAGTCATGCTGTTGCACTTAATATTATATAAAACTTATATGACATTTTTTTTTTTTTTCTTTCTTCTTTTTATTGCGAGAAAACTTTGACGCTCTTACTAAATCGAACATTCACATGCACGGGAATATGTACATATAAATATATATATATTTATTTATATATTTTAAAATAAATATGTGTATTAAAAGTAAAACCGTGCATGTGGATGTGTATTTTAGTGTGAGCTCCAAAGTTTACCTTTTTGCGATATTTCATATTATATTTTGAGTTAAATTTTTTTCCCATTTTTATTCGCTGAAATGCAATTTGCTTGAATATATAAATTTTTTGTTTTTTTTTTTTGTTTTTTTTTTTTCTTATAAATGAACATAACTCGCACGCATATATACAAAGAAAAATATATATATACGAATATTCACAAAAGGGAAAACTTTGTTCGCTACTATCCGGAACAAGGTGATGACGTTGTCATGCGGAAATAATTTCAAGATTCAAAAAAATTTTACCGACGAAAAAAAAAATACAACATTTAAAAAAAAAAAACAAAGTCCCATCTTAGCTTAGTACACAGGTTTAATTAATGTGCATGTGCCACAAACATGTGTGTCTCTTACGTTCAGAGACTTTTAAAACATACGAAAGCTATACCTTAACTCAAGTAAGGAATTTGAAGAAAAGAGAAAAGAAAAAGTTGCCGAAAATTAAAATTCTTTTGTGTTTGCGTTGATTTATGCATAAATTCATAAATATTGTATAAATACAATGGAGCAATTAAATTTATCATAAGATATAAGCCGTTTGCATCCTTCGAATTGCAAATAATGCATCGATGCATAGATCCGTAGCGAATATGGAGTCAATCTTGAGAACAACAAATCTCCAATGGCTGCGAACGGTTGATTGATTAATCTGTGCTGCCTACATTTGTCGCTTAATTGACGTCACTAATACATCACTATGTAACTTGAGCGAGAAACATAATACATATCAAACTCTCCGTAACTAAATTTTATATATAAATTGCGATGCCCGGTTACAGTCTGTCCGTATTTGTTGCGGCTGCGCGACGCCCAAGTTTCTCATTTCCACATATGACATAGAGAGTATCACGCATAAGGGACAATACCATTTTATAGCATTCCTTCTTTATATTTTTTTGTATTTTATTATCTTAACTATGACCTAAGCTCTGTAAACATGATATAAAAACACTTCTTTTGGAATAGCGGAGCGGGGTGCGAGGGGAGGTATTTTGAACAGTGCAAGAAATGGACTTTTTCGAACGCGCATTTTAAGTGCACTAAATGCATATCTGATAATAACAAAAAAGCGATTGATGATCAAAGAAAAAATTAGAAGCACAAGGCTGCAACGTCCATAGAGTTGTTCAATTCAACTCCATTAAGCCAATTGCATTTCTCTCTTTTAAGCTCGCACCTTGAATTTTCAGTCCGATTGCCTTCAAATTTCAACGCGAACTTTAAAAAATTAGTTTCTCTAGTGAGCATCAGCGAATTGATTTAAACAAAAAGCAAAAAAACAAAGAATTTCTAATTAACGGCATATTTTTTAAGATCACCTTGTTCAAAAAACCTCTCATGGCTCATTAGAGTTTGCAAAGTATTTTGAAAAAAATTTCGTGTTTGTTGTTTTAGATGTAAAGAAAGGTGTGCGTGTGAAAAGGCAACGAAAGGAAGGTCGATGTAAATATGGAATAATTTTGTGAGGTCTAACTTGCTTCCACGTTATTCCGCATAGACTTGAAAAATTTCTGCTATCATATTTAAAAATTCATATATTAATAAATTCCTTCATTTCTGGTAAACGAGAAATGTTCTAATGAACATGATATACATACATATCACTTAAGAAGAAAGAAAATTTATTAAAAATACAATTTATTCCTGCACGTTTAAAACATAATTAAGTTTTGCGTCTAAGAGCTTCGTATATACTTGAAATGTCGGAATAAATTTCAGCTTTCATTTAATATAACATAAAGCAATTCATATATTTGATGCATAAGCATCGGCACAATAACAAATCCTTACAACAATTATTGAATATGTAAACAATAAAAAAATCAGGAATTTTTTGCATTCGACTCAAATACTAGTATTCACTATCCATAGGTATTATGTGAAACTTTTATATTCATCAGCATATTTAAATGTGTTCGTCTATGCGTCCATTCATTAAAATTTACGGTAAAAATCTCAAAGTCTTATCACTTTAGTTGAGTGAAATCGAACAACAAATATATTTACAATCATCAAGAGACCGTCTACAAGCGCGAGATATTCTTTTCAATTACGCTAATGGCTTACAGATTAACGTTCATTAATGTACGTAATTTTCATATATAGTTCATTAATGTACGCAATTTTCATATGCAGTGGATTACTGTTTGCTTACTTTTTATATTATATATGAGTAAGCATCTCTTTTATTCACAAGCAGTCAAACAATACAATAAAAAGTCAATAATAATTTTTTTTAAGAATAGATTCCTTTCAAATCAATCGACATGAATCGTATATAACGGAATTCTTTTCCTTTAGTTCAGTTAATCACATCCGTGCCGATCAAACTCGCTGTATAAAATTATGTCAAATAAATATATGGAAAATTGTGCCGAAATTGTGTTTGATAGGAATTTTTGCGAATCGAAATAATCCAACACCAGACAACCGGGAAAATAACATAACTTTTGGCGAAACAACCGAAACTTAAACAAGAATTGATAGTGGAGAATACGATGGGTTGTTCAGAAATTCGAACTAGACTTTAGGTAATGTTAGACTTCATAGCCAGCGACAGGGTTGCATTTATTCGCCTACAAATGGACGTGGTATCCACTGGAAATACACCTTTTGGCGAGTTGTACAATCGAAGCGTAAACGAGTGTTGTTGGAGAATGCGATGGGTTGTTCAGAAGTTTGGACTCGACTTGAAGTAATTTTACACTTTGCAGCCATCAACTAGTGACAGGGTTGCATTTATTCCACTACGAATGGACGCGACATCCACTTGGAATAGAGCTTCCCAAGCCGAGGTATTGATGCAAAATAGTCAATACATTGCTTCTTAATACCTTTAGGACATCAGCTATCACTTGCAGCTTAACTTATCAATTATTCAGAATAATCATTAAGATATTTTTTGACATCGACAACCTTTTGCATTATCAATCAATCATCTAAACTTTTTCTATTGTCACATTAAAAGTGTTGATAGCATTTTGGTTCTTGGGGATAGCACTGGATGTTCCCGGGCTTTTGTTTGTAAGTTTGCGGCTCCGTTCGTGTTTTCCGTGTTGTCTTTTGTTAAGCTGTCTGAGAGATTACTTTGCTTTTATAAACATTGTTGTGTCAAAGTGTTCAGATATATCTTTGCCCTACGATTGCTGCTTTGATGTTAATTACTTATCCGTTTTCTATTCTGTATTGCTCGTGTTTTTATAAAGTCAATCTTTCTTTTAAAAATTTTCTAATGTCTTTTTGTTGTTGTATGTTGCTGATTTTATTTGCATTAGCTGATTTCTGGTTCTTCCAAAGCGGATTTTTCTCATTCCGTGGATACATTGCCTAATTCGTGTTTTTTTTCGCTTTTAGTTCTTACGTGTGCGAGCAAAGCAGTTGCGGACCATTTTCTCTCATTACTTTTAGTTTGTTTTCTATGGCTTCCTTTGGCATTCTATTAGAATGGTATGTTTATACACAACATGTCCCCTCAAGGTGGGTCCGGCTTCCGGTCGTTACGTAACCTGTTGATTATGCGATCGTTACGGATCACCGAAGTGTGGTGGCATTATCGGCAAAGCTGCGGACGCAATGTTGAGTCTTTCAAAACGATTACGTTGGTCATACTCTGACTGTGCCAAGCGGGACATCGATTGATAGTAACTTTGACAATTACAAAAATCGGACACACGCCACTTGTGATTCGGATTTATGTAACACCCGAAAAGATCTGAGCTAGACTCAACTTTCAGCCGATTCAGAATCACTTTTTGAATCAGTCTAAGTCTGTTTCCCCGGCTACCTGTATGCGTTCAACCTACAGGCCGCAATTTTTGAGATATCATAGATAGTTTTTCCGTTACGGTCACTATAACACCTTGCTTTGAAAAACGGTTATGCGAATAACTGTATCAAGCAATTAACGCGATTAACGTCACGTCGTTTTATGTACACTTTCTCACATTTACGTGAGTGCGGTTAAGGGTGAGGGAGCAAACCCTTAGTTAATTGGCTTTATATAGAATCGAGGATTTGTCGACCATTTCCTTAAACCAATTATTCTCAATTTGTCCAGACAGCTGCTCGTTCGATTTTATCTCGAAAAATATTTCACGAAATGGGAAAAATTTTCCAAGCAGAACTCTTGTCGTTAGCAAAATTTTAGTTTTAGTTTTACGGGATAGGTACAAGTAAATTGATTTCAGATATGCATAGCTTAGTATAGTAGTAACTTTGTAATGTTTTCTATCTCCCGGTTCAAGAAAATAAATAAATAAATATAATAATAATTACATGAACATAACGTACAGAGAGTAAACAGAGACATATATACTTACTTTATGACTAGAATCGGCAATTTGTTTTAATCCGACGGACAAATTTTTCAATTTGCCTGTGCTCAGCGACAATCGTGAGAGCAAAGGTTTTGCGAGACCATTACGTTGGGCATCGGAGAGATCTTTGGCGTTGGCCTCCAGAATGAATTGTTCTTTGCTTACCAATAAATCAGCCAATGTGTGAACAGCGCTGGCTCTTTGCTCTGGAGTTAACGTTTGCAATTGACGGCTGCCTTCCCTCGCTGCAAAATACACAAAAAATAAACATGAGAAAAGTTTGAACGCGTCGTTCACGTATTTGTCAAGAAAAAAATAAATAAAAAATAAAAGCAATAGTTTAACCGAAAAATTAAAAAAGAAAGGCAAAGAAAAGAAAACTTTACTTCTTCCGCTCTTCACATCGGACAAAACATTCATGCAATTCGGATATTAGTTAATTCTTGACAAGCGTTGCGCTTAAACTTTTTCACTGCCATCAAACGTTTCGCAAAAAAAAAAAAAAGAACGAAAAATCCTTTATGTAAAGCTTAGGCCGAATTTTTTAATACCCATACCATCACGCACCGCCCTGCGTTCGCCGATTGCTAGATAGCATAATAATCCATTCATTCATTCCATAGAAAGACATATCGTTTATATTGTAAATTCGAACTTATACCTTTTTTTTTTATTAATGCTGAAGCTACCTCATAGACAATTTTCAAGATTAAACGACTTTTATACGCATATAAACCTTGCCTAGTTGCGAGAACATTCTGTCTTCGAGCCTTTTTTCTTGGAGAGGGATTTTCACGGTAACACCATCAGATATGCGAACGGTCCAAGGGATACGAGAAAAATTTCTTATCCGTTTTTTACTTTACATTCACGGCGACCGACCATTGAGAACATAATTATTTTGTGGCATCTTCGAGGAATATTTGGTTGCGTTGTGAACGCTTGAATCAATTTAATATGCCGTCTGGAATATTGTTAAAGAACTCTTTCGTACGACGATTTTAACATCAATTTGAAGTTTAATTAAATCCGGAATTAGTGCTACGGTATTTCATTCAGTGCAGTCTCACGCATACACCTTTACGCGCAGGCACTTTTAAACGTAGTTTAAAATGAATTCATTGAAATCTTTCCAAAGCATTTCATTTACTATTTGATTCGAATTTTCTTTTCATTGAGTAAATATTTCGCTAAAGCCAACCGTGGTCGTACATTAACAGCTTACGTTACAGATCGGATGTAAAAAACTTTTACAATTACATTCTAACGAACGCATATGTTGAGGTAAACATATCAATAATAACTCTGCGATGGCTAACGTTTTCCTTTAGCGAACGAATCGTTACCGTTTAAAGTATTAACGAGCGTTTATTAAAATTGATGGAACGCATTACCACAATTAAATTATGTTTAATCATTCACACCAGAAAGCCTGATGACCAAACAGAGCAAATCTAAATTAAAAGAATACTGACTTACTTGAACGCTTTACATGCCTTTGTTGCTGTCTACGCATATACTTAAACTTAAGAGTTTTCCTATATATTTTATAATGCTTTTGTTTAAAACAACAAACGATACATTATAATAGAGGTTATCAGGAGAACTTCATAACCCAGACAGGACCTTAAGTCACGACAAGAATTGTGTCAATTTTGATCACCAAACTGCTACGCGGTGTAGATAGTTAGTACACATAAATGTGTACCGTACTCGAAGAATATATTGTCAATGAAAGTGTTGGACGAAAGCAGTTGCAAAACTTCCGTCAACGTAGCTCAATTTACGCTCGAAGATTATGCTTCCAATAAAAGAATTGAAACGACTGAGCGCACTATTCATGATTAGCTTTTAGTTATTCGAAAGCGGCAAAAATTTCCGAACAAAATTCATTTTGCCTTAATGCTAACACTAACGCTACGCCATACGGTACTTTGTTGTGGTTTTTTTTTTTTTTTTCTTCCTTCTTGGCCTAAGACATCTGGGGCAGAGGAATGTGGAAGCTTCTGAAAGGACGGCAGATAGTTATTCAACGTTTTACTCTCAATTTTCGATATAAATTTATGCATAAATTTTCCATAGCTGGCCCTTTATAGCAGTAGTTATTGAATCCACTAGGAAGGTCCAAATCGATGGATGTCTATTTTATATTTTTAATGGTACCTTTTAATGAATAGTAATTTGCACCTGTAAGATCTTAGGGTTAACCGTTTTTGCAATTTGAACGAAAGCTTCCGAAATATTGCTCACATCAAACGTCATTGTGATTTGCATAAAATCAAAAGCAAAGCGAAAAAAAAAGAGAGGAAAAAGAGAAAGAAAAACAAAAGGGAACAAGATTTTGAATCATAAATGGCATGTACATGTATGTATGTCTATGTATGTATGTGTTGTACCATATGTTGCAGTGTTTTAATGTTTTTCTTGTTTTCTTTTTTCTTTTTTTTTTGTGTTTTTTCCTAGCCATTATAACATTGTGAGCACAAACATTTACGTAAATATTCAAGGAATGTGATTTTGAAGTTTATATTCAATATACTATGTGCACACGTCACACGTACAATGGATTTTTCTACCGCATTACATTAAGTAAACATATGCATACGAGCAAGTAAGGTCTATACGAATGCATTTCTATTTAGGGCATGCACATGAGTAAACACATACATATGCATTTAATGTGGAGAAACATAAAAAGTGTTAAAGTTTTTATAACTGCATCCGATGTATATATGCAGTTTAGTACATAAATATATATATGTATCTATATAGGCGAGTGTGTCATATACATATCAAAAAAAAAAAAAAAAAATATTTCAATTTATATAAAATGTGATTAATAGAGGAAAAATGTCGGATGAATTAATATTAAATAATTTAGTAGAATGCTGCAAGGTAATATAAATAACTGAAACGATAACCAGCTTTAAAGTGAATTTTGCGACAAGTATGCACAAAAAATCAAAACAGAGAAATTACGAAATTTGATACTCATGAATCCGGTACGGACGGTAGCGGATGTCGTCTATGGGTAGATTGTCAAATTTAACTTGTGATTACTAATTAAGTACATTATTATTAAATGAAAAAGCTTCATCTTTTCATAATTGGGGGGAAAAAAGCGATCGCTACTAAGTCCTATGCAATCTTAGAGAAAATTAAATTTCACGAATCGTTGTGTAGAATAAGTAAAGTCACGCAGCGATGAAAGTTTTATATGATTCGCAAGAAAGACCAAGGGATGCAAATGAGTTGATTGTATGGATTCATATTTCAAATATATTGAATATGTTGAAATAACCATTCCTCCCATGACCACGGATAATTTCCATCTAAGCTTAAAAATCAGTGAATGTGAGAAAAAATTCTTTTGACCTGCAAGAGCCAATGAATGGGTGATGAAGAAACTCTTCAATCTTTACTAAGAATCGTATAGTCCAAGACATCTCTATAAAAGAACATTGCATGAAACTTTCGCCGGAATATCTATCCTATTGAATATTAAGCATCACCAAGATCGTCGATAATTTCGATGAAAACCAAGTATTTTGGAAAATGTATTCTGCCCTCTTGCAGGCAATGCAAAGTAACAGCAATTGTAAAGTTTTTTGCCTCTACGTACATCTCATTTTTTACTCACCGCTCTCAGCAAGTTCCTCGACTGGGGTGGTGAAGCCGTCTGTTGATTCGGTGAAGAACGTACCCACTTTCCTACCACCGATTATAGTTTTAATGGCTTTTTCTTGCATACCATTACATATCACTACGCTGACGCCACGATCTAAGGCCCAAGTAGCAGCCTTAACTTTCGAATCCATACCACCGGTGCCCACCTATAACGATAATAATGTTTGCAATCAAATTATTAAATATTTTCCCGCGATTTTATTCACTAAGTTGATTATTGTCCGCACTCGTACATTTACTTGCACATACATACGTAAATTTGAATATGAAAAATTTTCAATTAATTTTATATGAAGAGATTGACATTGAGATAAGTCGCCTCTGTCTCAATGCTTCGGGAAAAGAGACATTTACGCACATATCTGTGTATGTATATCTATGTATTTCTAGCTGTAATTCAGATAAGAAGCTCGAGGTTCATACAATAAGACTCGAAGGCTGCTGAATTGCTTTAGGAGAAATCTTTAAGAGCTTTCTGACATGGAATTTAAGCTGCTGCGGTATTTTTTAAATATCAAAAATGTCAACGGGCTTGAGCAATGATTTGTGAGGTATAACAAAAATAAATTTTAATTGTGGAACATTATACTTAGGTAAATCCGATTAGCAGTACATGGTATTACATAATGCAACTTTTCACATTCTGTCATCATAAAATATGCGAACATACACTTATTATCATATAGAAGCGTAGTCGTCATGAGAACATTTTGTAAACGTGGAAATGGAAAAAAAGAGACCTGTGTGGTAGAAAGCAATCATCGCGGTAAACTGAAATTTCATGAAATTTCATCGCCCACGAATTGCGTCTTGTAGATTGAACAAAAAAATCACTGCACGAAAGGACATAAGGGCGAACATGCTTAAATCGATTCAGAAATTGACTATGAATCCATATATGTATGAATATACAAAAATATGAAGATGGATCTAACTCAAGCCTTTCTCACTGTTGCATATATGGACACACATACACGAACAACAAAGTAGGCACCACGTTTTGCACTGGCAATGTGAGCGAAGAGAACCCGTTCAAAGTGTGCAAAGGTCCCCCAGACAGGGTCAGAATGATGTACGAAAGATACTAGAAAGAAATAGCATGTCATAAAATCTAGACGGAAGAAGAGTAGCGCTACAGGCTAGCGCAAAGCGTGGCTAGACGTGGAAAGTCTACAACTGGTGGAACAAAAGACAGAAACAGTGCTAGTAAGAAGTCGAAAAAAAGTCGGAAGAATGCAATGAGGGTGGACGGGTTAATTTTAGTATGTAGGCGCCATAGGTGGCGAATCGTACATGCCGCTGGTAGGGGCCAGTAATATCTTTCATAGATTTCTAACGCCAGCTCGCATAACAAAAAAGTACACGCACACACACACATATAGTCATACCACCAGTGGTTGCCAAGTTTAAAGAAAGAAAGAATGCAAGGAAACCTAACCAATAGAGTTGAATATGCTAGATTTGCATTTGTATCACATTTCATTAAATGAATTCTTTTTTAAATCTAGGAGTACTTAATAATAAAAAAGCTACACATACATGCATTTATAGATGCAATTATTCTTAAGTGGAGGTGGTTTATATTTTGAAAGTCCAACCGCATACACTCTCGCATTCATAAAAAGTTTTAGACAAAAGAATATTTTAATGGCCATAATATTTACAATGCCACACGGATTTGTGTGACTTTAGTTCGGTTTAAATAACATTTACACAGCCAAGAGACCATGTCTTTCGCAATACATAAACACACACAAACATTAAATTTTTCCCCTTTATTGCTCATGCGAACATATATGCATATACGTATACATATATGCATGCCAGCATGCACGCACACATATACACATACATATATGATCATATTAAAATGTTACTGTCAAGTTTTATTATTACATTTAATATTAGTGACTCTCTGCGTTTTGACTGCTGCTCTACCACCATACCATCATATATGCATGAACAATGGGAACGATATTGTATTTCTATTATAAAGAAAAACTAACTTGAAAGAATATATGTTCATATGTGTGTGCATGCGTGTGTGCGTCTATGTATTCGTATATACATTTTTGCTATACATAGTTAGTTATCATGTGCGGAAGTGAGAAACTGACTAATAGTTCATACACACAATGGTTGCCAATTTAGCTCGTCCCGTTCATTGCAGCTTTTCTTTGACTATCTAATCAAATGCCATAGTGTCCTTACTGAAGTTGAGACATTGAGACATTTGGTTTTTTTAGTTTTTCATGTTCGATTAATCTATGAACACAAAAAAAAAAAAAAAAGACAGAAAAAGTCTTCGAGAAGCTTTCGTTATTGCACTTAGCCTTTAAAGCTGTTTACAAAGAAGCCTGTAATGACGGATACAGTTCAGTTACAATTCACATTTCGCTTGTATTTACGAAGAAGACACTAAAACACAAAGATTATAATATAAAATTTTTTAAATTTCAACATACAACTATCACTTCGATGGCGTAGGACGAATGCAAACTAGAGGATTCTCTGCTACATGACTTCTTTGAAAAGATTTATTCTGGATGATGAGGCCTACTTGCATCTGTCTGAGTATAAGAATGAACATAACAAGCCCCATCTGAAACTCCCGCAACAACCTTTGCATCGAGGGGCAGTGTTATGTACCGTCTGAGCTAGACTTCTTTCAGCCTCGAATTGATGCTACGACTTTGAATAGTATTTATTTTGCAGACAGTGACACTAACCTTCTATACAATTCACGGTTCGCAAATTACTCTATTGCGTGAGAGATTTAAAACGTCATCTATTTTTGCAAGATCTCCACGCTATTGACCGTTTTTAGTTTCTTTGAAGAAAAAAATTTCAGGCCAAAAGAAGTTGGTTCGCTTCCGTTAGGGGCTTTTTATGAGTCGTTTAAAATTGATAGAATTTTTGTAACCAACGCCGGCGTATAAGGGGTATATTTATTTGATCAGCATCAAATTTCGAATCAATTTAAGCCTGTTCGTCTGTCCGTCTGTGTAATGTCTGTTGTTGTTGCAAATATTCTTCTGGTCGCAGAAATGATTTCGAAATTTCGTAAAAATATTGGAAATTCTTGCATGCAGGTTTGTACTGAAAATGAGCCAAATCGGTCGAAAGGGACGTTCACAGTACTACGTAAGGTAAGTACAAAAGTACAGTGTCTTCCAAAAGAGATAAAAAATTGGTGTTTTATTCATTTCTTAGACGCTACGACAGATAAATTGCACAGTAATTTGAACGTACATTCTATGGGCTATACTGTGGTAAATAATCGGCCGCGCCTACTCAATGTTTTGAAGTGTCATAATTTCATTTCTTCTCGAAACTTTTATAACGCACAGAATAAAACGTCAAAAACACCGTAAAGTATACAAATTCTCGTCCAGCTTCCGTCCATCTGCGCAACTGGGTAGTACCTCTGGTAAACATTCTACCGTTCGCAAAAATGATACATCGTGGGATATATAAAATAATAGCATAGTTTGTGGGGTATCTGAACCTTCTGGGCGTTGCAAATGTTTTGATCAAATGAATATACCCCTCGTCCGTCGGTGTTGTATATAAAACTAACTAACTAACCGTATACGCCTTTGGGTGAATCTTAAATACTCAGTCCCTTAGTCTTAAATATTTTTTTAATTGAATCCCAAACAAAGCATTATAGATTCTTCCCCTACCGCCCAACATTACGACATACACAATAGCGTTGTGCATGGATGATATATAGTAATGCTGCAACCGTAAAAAGAAAGGCAAATGATTTGGAAAATGTTTATTAAATCCTTAACTCAGAGCTCAGAGGGTTATATTAAATTCGTCTTCGCCTCAGCAAATGCTATATGTATATTAGCCTGCAATTTGTCATTGAAACTTGGATACCGTATGAAATATGAGTTAATTTAACACTTTTTGTTCGTCCGGCCGTCCTGTTCATCTATCGTTTTTCTCCTAAATACATTCGAAAAGTCATAAAAATTTTATCTTCACTTATGAAATTTTGATTTACAGAACAAAAGAATTAAAAAAAATGCCTTAGCATCGTACAAATTCCACGCCGTCTTTAGGCTCTTAATACTATCTATCAAATTATAAGAAAAAAAAAAGAAGAAGATTACACGACAAATGCAAAGCATATATTTTAGGGATCCAAGTGCAAGTAGGTATCCTGATAGACACAGTAGATTTAAATTAGTCTCAAAGTCAGTACAAACGTTTTCAAGTTCTATCGAAAATTACTGCAAATAAAATCGCCTCCGTTCGATTATAAGCATACCGACAATCGATGAAAATCTATCATATACAAATTCTGCGGAATAATGACTTTTACAAAACCATTTCGGGATCTGTGTGTAAGATTTCGCAGGAAACGAAATAAGGTCTTACTCCTATCGACAGGCTCGAGCAAATTTCACGAGTTGACATTTAGCAAGGAAACTTACTTTCTGGTAGATTTCCAACCTAGCTACACTGCCCTACTAGCGTCAAGTTTGAGATGTCATGCTGATCAAAAAACTTGCAAATGTTAACTAATTACGCATTAGTAAAAGGATAAAATTAGCGTAACACCTTCCTGCGGTTAATTTAAAAAGTTTTCGCATCAAATATCTAGGCAGAATTTTTTTTAGAAAAAGTGACAAAAACGCGGAAATTTCCGCACATTTCAGCTCGGTTTGTAAAGGTACTTTTTGTACTCTAAAACGGACAAGCACAAGCCCTGGATATATGCTCTCAATGCATGCTCGTTTAAATCTTTCACATGTATGTGCGGATGTGTTTATATATGAGAGTGCGCCTGTGTTTGTGTATACATTTGTATGACCATGCTAACAAAATGTTAGGATAATAAATAAAAACCTTTTTGGTAAACGTTTACAACGAACATCATTTGCGCAGCAACGCATTCATTAGGAGTAGGGTAAGAACGGACGACGAAGCATTCCTTATTAAGTTAAATTGTCGTCACAAAGACACCAAAATATTTAATTCTTCATTTAAAATAAATTTAATGATAATTGTCGTAACAAAGCAAAGAGCGTAACAACCGTCGACTTCGCTTAACTCGTTATAAAATATTTGAGCAGATTTTTGATCATGTCTGTGCATGTATATGGGTGCGTGCGTTTGCATGAATGCGTGT